TTTTCCATTGGGGAGAGGGCTTCATTTGAAGCGAGGGCTTTTCTGTTGCCAACCACAACCATATCCGAATGTTGTGAATTACTATTCCAGTTAGGTTCATCATCCGCAACCAAATAGGGAAATAGTCATTCCATTCGATTCTATTTTCATTGCAGTCTGTTTGTTTCCCAAAACCGGCCGCAAGGTTGCATTTGATGTAGGTTTTGCATTCATTTTTGTATTTATATCCGGAGTATTTCTATTAATTTCCATGTCTTGTAAATACATACAATATAACTAATATACTCCCTCCGTTCCTAAATATTTGTCTTTCTAGAGATTTCAAATGGACTACCACATACGGATGTATATAGACATATTTTAGAGTGTAGATTCACTCATCTTGCTCCGTATGTAGTCACTTGTTGAAATCTCTAGAAAGACAAATATTTGGAAACGGAGGGAGTAGATTGGTATTGTAGACTAGAACTTACTAGAAAAGTGTAGGCATATTATCCATGAATTATTTCCTCCCTTGAGTAAGGGTAGTGTTGGTCCATTACATATGGGGCAACCAATAATGGTGATCAAAACTACTAGCGTCCGGTTTTTTCTTAACAGCTTTTTCGGTCAAAGTGATAATCTATGTGAGAAGATATGTTTATTTTCTTCCTTGGAATAATATCATTGAATAAAATAGCAAGTGGGGAAGTTAATTTAATTAATCAATTAGAAAGTGACATGCTATAGTTGGGTGTAAACTTGCCTTTGCATATTTTAACACTGAACGTCTCAGATTTATTATCTACTCTTCTTTGACACTAGTTTGGACATCTTTGAAAACATATTGAAAATGCTTTGTATGGCATGAATCAATTGATTCACATTATTATCTCTAATGTACGCAAATGTGGAACCCCTTTCCTCCGCAGATGTGTCTTGTGGACTTAAATGGAGAGATCGTTATCATATTATCAAGGGAACCTGTGAGGGCTTACTTCATCTTCATGAGAAGCGTATTCTTCATTTAGATCTCAAGCCCGGAAATATATTGTTAGCTGATCACATGGTACCGAAAATTGCTGATTTTGGACTCTCAAGGTGCCTCGATGAAGACCAAACCCGAGCTTTTACTTCACATCTATGTGGATCTCAGTAAGCCACCGTCTTGAAAGCTCTTTTTTTTGCAGGGGTTTGAAAGCTCTTATTTACTCTGCACATTAACTTATTGGGCTGTATAAATTTTCTTGTAGGGGATACTTAGCACCAGAATTCTATAGAGGACAATTCACATTTGCGTCAGACATATATAGTCTTGGCATTATAATTGTGGAGATACTAACAGGAGAGAAGGGGTATCCAGAAGAGGAGAATGTAAGAACAATTTAAGTGTTTGCTCATGTTAATGATAGATTTTTAAATGAAATGTGCTATGTATTAACTGAGCCTTAGAGTAATTGCAGAAATCATGTATTCCCAAACAAGAACGGTCTAAACTATCATCCACTTATGTAGCACTGTGCCTTTGGCAGACCACATTTCATGTTTAATTAAGCCTTTGCGAGCACTAAGATCACATCCATGACAGCCTGCAAAAGGGTAGTTTCACCCAAAATATTGAATTTACAAAGAAATATGGAAATGCGCTTATAAATGTCAAACCACTTTTTGCATCTGTAGTTGAGTTTTCGCTGCTGCTATAAAGTTTACCATGTACATTTTAACTCCTAGCTGCAACTTTTGTAGGTAGTTGCAAATTGGATGAATCAGTTGGAGGCATCAGATCACTGGCATACACAGTTGGAGCAAGTAAGAGTATGCACTAAGATAGGGATACAGTGCATGGACTTGAACCCAAAGAAGAGACCAGTTGCACGTCATATACTTGATAGGCTAGATAAAACAAAAAGTACCATCGAAACTGGCATAAGTGGTTCATCAGTTGAGCAGCAGGTTAGTTTCCTTAAGGAACAATATTGCCAAGAGAAAAACTCAAAGCGTTCATATCAGTACCTTGGAAAGGAAATCAAGGAACACGCTGAAACAGAAGGACTTGCAAAATATGTAGAGATACCTAGAGAAGATCATTGGCAGCAAGGGCAGCAAGAAGCTTCGAGTGATCAATGGCCATTAAGGGGAGTGCAAGATGTAAAGAAAAATGTAAGCCCACAAGGTGCAAGTATTTCTAGCTCCAACAATGGTGTGCTCTATAAGTTGAACAATTTGGACATCTTTGACAGAAAAGCACACAGGAATCACGTGCGGTATGGTGGGCCTACATTGGAGAATGTAAATTTTGTGAAACTTTTCAAAAAAAAGGAGCTCGGTCCAATTTTAAAGAATAAGAATCTTATTAGAAGAGATAGCTTTGGAGTAGTTTACATGGGCCTTGTTGATAGTGTGCCAGTTACAATAAGGAAGCTATTTAGTGGTAGTGTGGTACAGAATGAAGATTTTGCAAATGAAGTCATCATCCAGTCTCAAGTCATTCACGGAAATATGGTTAGGCTCATAGGCTGTTGCCTTGAATTCGAAGTCCCGATGCTAGTCCATGAGTTTCACTCTATAGCAAGCCTCCATTACATTCTTCACACCAACATCAAGGTGCCTCTTAACCTTGGCGTGCGATTAAGTATTGCTGCAACAATGGCAGGTGCTCTATTTTATGTGCATTCCGCACTTGTTGAGAAAATATTACACGGTAATGTTAAACCATCAAATATACTCTTGGATAACAACTTTGTGCCAAAGATCTCAGACACCGGCATATCAAGGTTGATCGTGAGAGGCCATGAACATAGCGGAATATCCATTGGTGACATGGCTTATATGGATCCGGTATATGTACGAACAAGCCCACTGACCGAACAAAGTGATGTCTACAGTTTTGGAGTTATCATCTTGGAGCTTGTTACTAGGAGAAAGGCCACACATATGGACAAAAACAGCTTAGTAATTAATTTCCTTGAGAACCACAAGCAGGGGAGGAAATCGACCGAGTTGTTTGATAAGGAAATTGCAGTGACAGAAAATTTGAAGCTTCTTGACACTCTGGCAGGACTTGCTGCTGAATGCCTTAATTTTGATGTGGACCTAAGACCAACAATGGTAGATGTCGCAAATCGTCTATCCATGCTGAATCAATCCTGTAATTTGAGTTGACAAGTTGATGCATTTACTAGTGGAGTTTGAACATGTATGATGTGTTGAATAAACTTCTGATAGACACAACTATGTATAAATGTGTGATGATCGACGTGTGGTTGTGAAGAAATCTTTGAAGTACTGCCTGTTAAGTGTGCTAAAGCACGCCCTCTCAGGCCTCCTGTAAGAAAAGCTCGGTCCGATTGTTGGTTATGCTTCTGGTGTTTACCTGGTCTGGATTTGTGGCTTACATCGTATTCTTACCGTCCTTATGATGTTAGTGATTAAATTCTTGGACTGTTTACTGTGGACTCTGTTCATAGGGTTTGGTTAACGCTGATGGACTTCACATCACGTTGCCACCAAATGAATTGTATGAATTTGCATGGTGACATGAACAGTAATTCTGCGAGTAGCGGCAGCAACGCAGACCTCTGCAACTCACACACACGCATATAGTCTGTGGCTGCTAATAACCCTGCAGTGCAATGCTTGCTCAGCACAGTCCACCGTCTTGTGTTACAGACGATGACGGTGGTGTTTTGCATTGATTTCAGGTGGCCTAGGCCCTACGGCCCGATATCCAGAGCAAATGTAAATTTGCATTCAGGTCGCATCTGCTGCCTCCCAAGCCAAACCTGAAAGGGGAATAAAATTCAGATTCACACAGCTGCACGCCTGCACCTCATTCAGACTTGGATATGTCTGATGTGATCTACTACTACGGAGTAGTATATCAGCTGATAGTGACACGGCACCACCAAACGGATTCATCTCAGCTGCAACAGCCAAAAAAGACTGAAACCATCAAGATTCAGAGCAGCTGAGAGAGGATTCAGTCAGATTCTTGGGCTGTCAACCGGTTGACCAGCCCAACCCAACTTTTTTTAGTTCAAATTTGAACTAAATCCACGAAACTTTTTTTGGATTGGAGGGAGAACTGTAGTTTGCATTCCTCGTTGCTGCTTGTTGTCATGCTCCCCGCACGTTTTTTTTCTTCCTCCGAACCTGAACTCACATCACCAATGTGCTAACGATCATTGGCGCTCGTCGGCGACGGGGGTTTCCCCATGGGGTTGCCTTTCCCGCTGGCGGGGATGATGAAGGATAAAATGCCGTGTCAGCTGATGTTGAAGGATAAAATGACGTGTCAGCTGAACATAGGAGGACGGATATTCTGGGCTGGCCCATATAACTTCTCTTTTTTCTCAATTATAAAAACCAAAAACAGTGCGGCCGTCCGGGTTCAAACTCACAACCTCAGCGTTCCAAGGGTACAACAGCGTTCCAAGGGTGTCACCGGAGTGGGCCACACACGGTGATTTTACCCATTTTTTTGCCCTCATTACAGAGGTAACACCCTACTCCTACTTTGGATTTGATAAATGTTTGAATTTGGTTAATGGTGGAAACGCCTTGTATGAGGGGGTTACAAATTGAAGATGGCGGTTGCTACTAAGGAATGAGGTATTGAACATATGCCCTTGATCTACCCCTAGCCACGCCTTATAAAGGGGACTGACCACATCTTGAGAGGGTCTTAACTTGCATGCCAAGATGATGCCTTGTCTGGAGATTGGACAACCTAAGGACCAAAGGGCCTAGCCTGCCGCTAGGCCCTCTAGGCCCTGAGGCCAGCCGAAAGACGGGTTCCTTGGTAGATGGGCCGCCCTCAGCATATTGTACAATCACTCGATTTCTATGTTTAATTCGCACAAAACCTTTTGTTTTAGAAACTAGCATGAGCTATTGTATACACCAGATTGAGATGAATATACCAAATAAAAGAACCGAATGTAAGCATAGTTGAGTCAGTGATATGTTTATGTTCGTCGATGATCGGTCCTATTTCAATACCATGCATATGAACTTATTACCAAATCCAACTTGTAACACGTTTGCAAATAGTACAATTTGTACCCTACAAGGTTTTATCAATATGCACACCTAATAATACACTAGAAATCACGTGTAACACAATTGCAGATAATACACTATAAAAAATTTAGTTGGACATTATTTTAAAAAAATCTCTAACACGATATTAATCTAACCAAACTATACATGAACATATGCATATACATACAAATATGAATGTGTGCGTTGTACAATTTTTTGAATTGTCACAAAAATAAATCAAAAATAACTTCTATTACATCACTTAATTTAAATTTAGTATAAACAAATTGATTATTGATGTACTCCCTCCATTTCAAACTATAAGTCCTTTTAGAGATTTCAATATGAACTACATATGAATGTATATAGACATATTTTAAAGTGTAGATTTATTCATTTTGCTCCATATGTAGTCCATATTGAAATCTCCAAAGAGACTTATATTTAGGAACAGAGGGAGTACATTTCAACTAGTAAGAAAAGACGTTGGTTAACTATACAAATTAATTTATTATATCAACTAAAAAACGAGTTATATACGTAATATTGTAGTATGGTAAAAATAAATAAGTATAAAATTTTAGTATAAAAACATTTAATTTCTATCATGACCTCGCACGTGCGATCCGCCTACGTTGGACGGGTCGGACGACTGCGACCCAACTTTTTCAGTAAATGAGGATGATTGACGATCGAGAAATCTAACAAGAACCACCGATATTTGCTGATTTTGCTCTTGCATCGATGTGTCACATTCATCTTTCCTGTAGATCGTTGTTCTTGTATCAACTTGGTCGTGATTTGTTGGTGGTACCTGATTTGGAAGGGGGTCGATCACCTCTTCTTGTGTTCGTGCATTGGGTCGGTATGGCTTCAATTGATTTGCATCCTATAAACCTCTCCACAGGAAGCCTCTTCGATTTTTGGCAATAGTTTGCAACACCCATGGTGGGATATCCATTGACAACATGTGATATTTCACTGGTGCTGTTAATATCGAGTTAATGAGGACTACTCTCCCCGCTCCCGTGAGCAATCTACACTAGTAAAGTTGTATTTGATTAGAGATCTGACCAACGCGCAATTTATATGTATTGAAACAAAAGATTGTGTGTCATACTCCATTCGTTTCCCGACATGAGTTTAAGCCAACCATCTAGACAATTTTGGCACCTCAGTTGGGCAACCCAATAGTAGTTACGTGGGGCATGTAGCATGCGTTTTCTTGCCCAGACAACTAAGGGCCAGTTCTTTTGGGCGATTCTACCAGAATCGCCCCCCTCCCCAGCTTCTCCCAGAATCGCCACTCCATATGTTTTTTACAATCGTAGCTAATTAGACCTTAACTAGATAGAATTGTAAAAAAAATATGGAGTGGCGATTCTGGGAGAAGCTGGGGAGGGGGCGATTCTGGGAGAATCGCCAAAAAGAACTGGCCCTAAAGCTTATACAATTTATTTGCTTGTGGTGTTAGCACATGTAACGCAATAGGGCCCCTCGAGAAAAGAAAATGTAGCATCCATGAGTCTGTGAGTTTCTATCCAAAGGTAGCATCCATGACATTCTTCACATCAAATTAAGGTGCTATAGCTTATATGCATTCAACATTTACTTGGAAAATCTCTCATAGCAATGTTACACTGGCAAATATACTCTTGGATGACCACTTTGACAAAGATCTCGGAATTTGGCATATCAAGGTTCATTGCGGAAGAGTGCAAACTCACCGGAATATTCATTGGTGACATGGCTTATATGGATCATCTATATGTGCAAACAGGCCTGCTAACTGAAAAAAGTTACGTCTACACCTTAGAAGTTATCATATTGGAGCTTGTTATGGGGAAGAAGGCCACACATTCTGACAATAACAGTTTGGTAAAGATTTTTCTTGAGAATCACAAGATGGGTAGGAAATCAACCGAGTTGTCTGACAAGGAAATTGCGGTGACAAGAGATTTGGAGCTTCTTGACAATCTGGCAAGACTTGTTGTGGAGTGTCTTAACCATGATGCGGGCCTAAGGCAGACAATGGTAGATGTTGCAAAGCGCCTTTCCATGCTGAATCAATCTCATAAACAAGCTGTGAGTTGACATGATGGAAAGCTATATAGGACTGCTGGTTCGTGTTTTTTTACTGGTGTTTAATCCTTGCTTAATTTCCTGGCCTTGGTATGTGGATCCATTTATTCTTCCCCGTCCATTTGATGTTAGAGCAGCACCCCAAGACCTTAATTAGTAAGGGTAATTATTTGTTGCACTGTGTTGTGACTGGTGTTGAGTATATTCGTAGGGCCGGGTTAATGCTGATGGAGTCCACATCATGCATGCTGCCACCAAACCATGTGTATGAATTTGTGTGGTGATATAACCATTCCGTCAGGACTGGCATCTCCGTTGTAAAATACTTGAGTTCATAATTTCTGTCCCATCTGTTGTGAAGTACCACTTGTTGTTACCTACTAGGACTACCACCAGCTAGTGCTTCTGTGCAGAGTTTCCGTGCACTGTTGACTCTCTTCAGGCAGACCACGGCCATATTTTCGGGTAATTCGTTTCATCCAGAATCTCTGCAGGGTTTCGGTAAGACCATCACCGCTGCTGCCTCCCGAGCCAAACCGGAAAAAGGGAACGGTTCCGCAGGGAGGAGAAGTTCATGGAGCTCGCCGCCGCCGCCGACCGGTCACCGAGTCCATGAGAATGGCGGAGAAGCTCTGCATGCACGAACTCTGCATGTAGTCACAATCTAATCACTCTAGTCGTGTGTGTAATGTGTACCACGAGTATTCAGATCGTGTAGTGCTTGCTTCCTTCCCCTGCTTTCTGGCAGAAGTATTTTTCTACTTCACTCACTTTGCACAAGAAAACTTTTTCTTTTTCTTTTTGAGCAGGACATAAAAAAAGTGACATAGAAGCAAAGGTAAAATAAAAAAAGTGACATGGAACTTTTTTTTAGAATAAAGTGACTTGGAACATGAGTGGAACACGTTGCTCGCGGGGGCTAATTGGGTCTGCATGGCCTTGGAGAGGCACGTTCCGGGCGTTGGCACTGTAGTGGCCTAGAAGAGGCAGGCTCTCTCCCCGGCTCTCCGCCACGGCCTACCTCGCGTCCATCCTCC